GTTTTATGACGAGCCGTAAAAGCGACAGCAGATACAAAAGTATCTGTAAGTAGGCATATTGCCATGCCATGTATCTTGCAGATGCATCTGGTAAATGTGAAGGCAGCTGCCTGGCAGTTGTTGTTCTTGTTGCAATTGTTGTGGTTGCATTTGACAGCCAGACAGCCGGAAAAACTGAAAAGCCAGAGCGAGAACGAGAGCGACAGATGGAAAAAAAAGGCAAGGGCGAGCTGTGTGCATCTTTCCGATTGTATTTTCAATTGCAATATCTCAAAATGAAAGTCAGCAAACACAGAGAATGAGGGTGAGGGGAAAGAGAAACTGCTCAGAGTGCTTGATAATTTGATTTCAGATAGTTTCGATTGGGGTCTTCTAAATATAGTCGGCCAGCTCGTAAACTCTGACTTGACTTGAAGTCTAACTGTGGAGCTGCCAACTGCTGCCAGCTGCCAGCTGCTGCAGCACGGCATTTGCTACGAGGGATGCTCGAGCCAGTCATCAAATATGCATAGGCTAAAACAGCTGTGGCATGTCACAGGATTACAGTTTAGTGGTCAAGAATGCCAGAGTAGGAGCATATCTTGTAACCTGATCCGAATTGGAAAACCCTACTAAATTTAGAAACCAAATGCTATTGCTGATTATTCTTCATCGGATTCATACGATAGGAAAAATCTTTTTTTCGCATAACTTTCGTGATTACAACATGCTCGGTGCATATCAAAATGCATTGGCTTAGAAAGTACTTAAGAGTTTATTGAAAAGTTCAAGAAAATAAATTTGTAAGTTTTTGTCACGTTCGAAATTTTATTTTGACATGACACTAGAGTCTGGCTTTTGCACTAAACAAAAACAAAAATAGGAGCACAACAATTTGCTGTCATTTTCTTTGTTGTCTTGCATTAGAAATGCGCATCAAGTATAGAGGCCAAAAACACTAGCAGCCCTTACTGGGTAAATAGGCTTAAGACTCACAACAATTTTTAATACGCTTTACACAGGGTGTAATGCAATGAAAAGCAACAAGCATCAATAATTGGAAAGAGAGTCAACTGGCGAGACAGCATATATATGTGTGATATACGGGTTCCAATGCGTAACGAGTTATCCAGTCAGACAGAGTAGAGACCTAGAGGAATAGCGAGGAACAATCCCATTTAAATGTTGTGTACATTTCCCCTGCATCTCTTTAAGCTGCCCGCACATTTGCAGCAACAGTGCGTCATCACCTTGGACAGACAACTAGACAAGCAGATGACACAGCACAGGAGGGAGTGAGTGTGTGAGTGAGTGAGAGAGTGAGAGAGACTCTTCATCAACACTAGAGAGCAGCTCACACAACCTATTGAGGTCGTAGGGTGGAATGGGGGGGAAAACAGGTTGCTAGTTGTTGGTGTCATTGTTGTCAAGAGCAATTGTGTGGCTATTTGAAGGTTAAATTGATCATCATCAACAACAGCAACAGCAACAGCCACAGCAAAAGCAATAGCAACTATTGAAATGTGTGAGCCTAAAAACAAAGGGGGAAAGGAGAAGGAGGAGGAGTAGGGGCAAAGGGTTGGCTTGAACAGGATAGAGAGGAAAGAAAACACAACTGAATAACATGAGCTGATTAAACACAATTTGAATTAACAGACTAGACATAACGAGCATACACAACACACAACACACAATAGCCAGTGCCCCTAGGATGTTGACTGAGTAGGTTTGCGGTTATCAGCGATGTTGAAGGGGGAAGCGATTGAAGGCATTTTTCATACCATATTTGTTGTTGATGCTGAGCTGATTGACAATCATGCTTGAACAGAAATAAACAAAAATGAAAAGAGAGAGAGAGAGAGAGAGAAAGAGAGAGAGGAGAGAGAGAAAGATAAAGCAGCTATTGCAATTTCCAATTTTACACTCATCTCGATTATAAGGAAACGTATAATTATATTCATAATTTGGGGCTTGTTAAAATTAAGACAGACAATCTAAGTTGTATAACTTTATTTGTTTATAAATGTGAAGATTTGAGTTGTCTGTTTAGGTAAGGGTCCCACAGTGAAGTTTACTTTTAACGGCCACCCTTATGCAGTTGCAGTTTCTTTGCACACTAAATAAATTCTATCTCAAGAAACTCTTCAGAATGTATAAGGGACTGCATTAGTTGTCTCCCTCTCCCTCTATCTATATCTAACTTTCTAGTTTCTCTTGTAAAGTAATAGATCATTATGCAATTTTATCAAATTTTGGTAAGTCTTTTGGTACCCAAGTCGAGTGCACCTATAGAATTTGGTCGCGTTCCACATTTAATAGGGAAACAGTCCGGAAAGTCAACCAGTCGATAAGCAGATTAGCTTAGTGGGCTCATTTGCCAGCCAACCGCAAACAGAATTGGCTTAAGTGCTGGCTCATTGTCAGCCCCATTATGACAATGGCTAATCCCCATGTGACGTGCCTAGCTCTGGGCTGATGGTTCAACCCCGACGACCCCCAAACAAACGCGACAGATGTCTATGGCCGGCAAACGGTGAACTCACCTGCATCCCAAAATCGGAGCAGAGACCGCTTTTACCACTCCACCCCCTCCCTTCACCCCATATCCCGCACAGACTGTCTCCCTCTCTGGTGCCTACTCTCAATTGTGACTATGCCTGCTCCGGCTGCTTTTGCTGACGCGCGTAAAAAACTACGCCCAGTGCAGCAGCGTCAGCTGACCTACATCCACATCCAAGAGAAAAAGCCAAAGCCAAATCCGAGCCGAACCGCGCAACGAGCCAAGCAAAAACGAGCGGGAAAGAGAAGGAGAGAGAGAGAGACAGAGAGGGAGGGAGGGAGGGAGGGAGAGAGAGCGGAGCTGCGCTTAGTTGACCTGAATTTAACAATGGCATCAGCGTTGCCGCTGGAAATCACCTCAACCATTTTACTCTCCCTCCTCCTTTTCACATACTCCTTCTTTTACTGCCGGCAGCTATTGCAATGACCAGCTAATTTCAATCAAATTTTACAGCTGAGTTTATCCCGGCTGGCGAAAAACCCAACTGAAAATAAACTGAACAACAAGAAACAACATGCCGAAGATTACATACCCTTGTGGACCGGACCTAATCTGCTGACATCTAAATGTTTAATCGACGTGCGAATTATTTGAATTATTAAAAATAAACAAATATTATTTTTATATCTATTTCAGAAAGGAGGAACGTTATAACATGCTTATTTTGTGAATTTGACATGACAGTTTATGATTATTATGACAGTCTATGACAGTTTTATGATCCAATCCGATCGTACCCGTCGTCAAATTCGACCGAAGCCAACAGACGGATATATACCAAGATTTATAAAGTTACCTTTAAAAGGGGGTGGCAGTTTTGCGCATATAAGATTAAGAAATTCGGACGGAGGGACTCGGGTGATAATAATATCGTCTACATTGGCTATTGGTTATGGCATTTCCTATTGTCTGCAAAGTTTTCGCAGATCGCTTAGTTAGTAGTACTGTGCAGATTTTAAATAAAAATAAAGTTAAAATTCCTTTTGTTAAAAAAAAAGTTCAATGAATTTTGGATTTTAAAACAATAACTAACAAAAATATTGAGATGAGATCTCTTTTAAAACACCCGCAGCAATTCTGTAAATATTTATTATTCAATTGCTATAGATCTATTTGAAAGATCAAACTAAAAGTAAGTAAGCACAAATCACTACAATTATCATGGGCAAACTGGTATCAGAGTATTACTTAAACAAGTTTCGGTTCTTATCATGCGGACGAACTAGTGACTAAAGCTGATGTGAGATAGCCCGCGACTCAAAGAGGACGCCGCGCACGTTAGGGAATAGGGGTAAACCCTAAGGCCGACGTCAATCAAACAAAGGCAGCTGCTGCTTCGCGATACCGCTGCCGTTGCCGAATTGAGGTGAGTGGCGGCTCTTGCCTTAGGGGAGGGGGGGTGTGGGGGTCTTTAGGGTTCTTCAGACTTCAGGCTTGCGTTCGCATTCGGTTCGGTTTGGGCTTGGCCCAACAGCGATGATACCTATTGATACTTAGCGGCAGCGGCAATCAAAAGAAACCAAACAAAAAGAATGAAACAAATGGGAAGCCGGAAGTGTGTGCTGTATTACCTCCACCCCGCTCCCGCTCTCGTTCCAAGCGAAGGCGGAGGTAGACAAGAATCTGGGCACATGTAGCGCACATGGTAAGCAGCCGGGTCTGGAGCTACGCGGAACGTTGTGGGAATGAAACAAAAAAGGGCTCGACAGACGCTCGCAGACAACGGAAGGCGTAAACAAAATGGGAAATATCGAAATTGTTGTTGTTGTTGCTGTCGCTGTTTCTGTCGCTGTAGAGAGTCACTTGCAGCAATTGCAGCACACTCCGAGCAAAACAGCGAGAGAGCGAGAGAGAAAGAGAGAGGGGGAGGAAGAGAGCACAGAGCGAACGATTTACACAGGTAAAAGAGAGTTCGAAATTTAGGCAGCACTCGCGTAGAGCAAACGCTTATCCCATATATAGATTGAGCCCATCGACAAGATGGCAAACTAAACAAATCAAAATGCAATCAATGTAAATTGGAACGCACTTCAAGTGCATAATTTTGGGGTCTCAAGTGGGGCAACACTACAACCACCACAGCGAAGTACCACTTGAGGCAGCTAACCTAAAAACTACTCTACACTGAACAGTTGAACCCAAAAAATATTAATATGCAAAATATACAAAAAAAAATAATAAAATAAAAAAAAGAAAACTATGCCGAACGTATAAATTGTGCGCATAAGCTTATTTCTGCTTATTTTTCATATATATTTACTATATTTCTATACAAAATATGCAATATCAAGCGTATTTAAAGATATCTTTAACAAATTATAATATCAATTTAATGTTTTTCATAAGCAGGTCGAATTTAGGTGCAAACCACTGTAAATTGAATATATGAAAACTAAGGCGGTTGTAGTATTATATAGTATAGCATATAGTATAGTATTTGTATCCTTGTGGCTGTACTCACCTCTAGGTAAACATCGCTATCCAGATTAAAGGTGTCATTAACCCGACGAAATGTGTAGTTCACATGCGGTATTGAATGCAGGATTTTAACGAGTATGCTCGGCTGTTCCATTTTTATGGCTCCTTTTGCAACGTTGTCGCTGTTATCGCTCTTCTTGTTGTTGTTGTTGTTGCTGCTGCTGCACTCGCACACAAAGCTAGCTTTCGCTCTCTCTCTCTCTCTCTTTCTCTCTCGCCCTCTCTCTTACGCTCTCTCTTTCACGCGTTTTTGGCTAGTCGACGTCTTCTCGTTGTCTTTCTTCGTTTTTGTTATTTATTTATTTATTTTTTGTTTTGTGGTACGGACTCCTTTTTATTGTTATTGCGCGTGTGTGTATGTGTGTGTGTGTGCGGGGCAGCGGCAACAGGGGGGTGGGGGAGGCGGTTGTGGCAGCGGTGCTGCTGCTGCTGCTGCTCCTGCTTTTGACGTCACAACGCAGCTGCTGCGACGACGACAACAGCGTCTCGTTTCAGCGCAAAATTGACTTGAGAGTTTAGCGCATAACACTCACTGCTCCTGCTGCTGCTACTGCAAAAGGGGGAGGGAGGGTGTGGGAATTGAAGAAGAAGAAGGGGCTATGTAATTCGTATGCTTTCGTACACTTTGCTCAACTGTGCGCACAGCACAGCAAGCTAGCGAGCGAGAGGGAGAGGGAGAGAGAGAGAGCACGAGGCTGTTGCGGGGGTGTTTATGCGTGCGCTTCACACGCTGTGCCAAATTCCAAATTGTAGCGCCGCGACCCCAAACGCATGCTCTCCTGCTCTCCTGCGTAGACCAAAGTGCGCTCTCTCTCTCTCTCTCACGCGCTTGCTTGCACTCTCTTTGTGCTCTTTTGTTTGCTGCCATGTCCTGCGCGCGTGTGTGTGTTTGTGCGTGTGTGTGCGCGTTGCCTGCGCTAAATTTTCACTTTCACTTTTCACACACCCAAAAAAAAAAAAAAAAACGAATAATACAAAAAAATTCTACACACAACTGTAGTAAGCAACCTAACGGCACGCATGCATGTATGTGTGCTGCCAGCCTGCCAGCTAACGGCACTTTGCAAAATTTTTGTTTTGATTTCAACGCTGCCGCATTTGCCGCTCACTCTCTCTCTCTCTCTCTCAGCGAAAAAAAGGACAACTTGCAGAAAAAATAAATGTGCACAGACTTCGATAAAAAAAAAGAGAAAAAAATGTGTGTGCTTATCAGCGTCCGTTGCAGGCAGTACTTGAGATTTAATTCGATTATTACTGCTGTCCGATAAATAAATGCACAATCCTTAAGTAACTTGCTGTTGCACAGCGCGCGTTATTACTTTATTTGAACTTTTTTTAATTTTCTGCTTAGTTTTCTTTTTTGTTTCAATTTGACCGACGCACGTTTAGCGGCCACGGGGCGTTGTTTCATTTACCGTTTCGTTCCGTTTCGCAAGTAGCGTTGTTGCCGCAACTGCGGTCGAAATGCGAATGAAGCGAAAAACCTGCGCAACGTTTTTGGGCTGCAAAGGCAACAGAAGAAAAAAATGAGTTCTCAGCGCGAACACCGACTTACGAATGCCCTGCTGTGTGCCTTACTTTATGGTATCTAACCATATAATCACTCCTTTACGATAATAAGATTGACATATATTTTGGTGCGTACCCAATACGACAATAAAAACATACTTAAATCGGAAACGTTTCAGTTAGAAGTGAAAATATATTTTGCGCACCCATTGCCAAGTGCTATCCTAGCAAGGGTATTTTTTTTTATATTCCTTTTCTTTGGCGAACAGCGAATGCTGTGTGACTTTTTGGGGGCAGCTGAAATTCAAATTGAGCCACAGCTCAGGAACGTAAACAAGTCGGCGCATGATTCACATATCGATAACGATGATATCGAGCTGCGGAAATTTAAAACGCGACTGCAAGCAAAAAGATGGGCAGCTCTTGAATGTTTTTCAGCTGAGTTTTCATTCTTATTTGTTGTTCATTTTGTTGTTTTCTATTTTTTTTTTACTATAATATGTGTGCCATTTTTATCGCAGTCAGCGATAAAAACAAGTTTTCCACAACAACAACAGCTAACGAGAATAACCGCTTTAAACGCTTGTTTCTAGTTTCGCTGACTGCGTACTAAGCCCCAGCTCTGTTGACAACTATGAGCCAATGTATCCACACATCCAGGCCCCTGGCCGGGCAGAGTCACAAATTCATGTAATCTGAGCAACCTTAATGTAAAAAAAAAACACTGTCAAAATAAAAGTGTCCTTTTCTTAAGTGCTTGACAAGGAGATACCCTGTATATGGATTTGGGGGCTATGACAAATTTACAAATGTGCTTGCTTCAATTTTGTGGCAGGATATATGTTAATAATAATATAATAACTAGCTTAATCTGATGATAATTATGTATGTCTGTTCGGAAATCCTTAGACCTTTACCTGTGTGCTTTTTTTATTTGGGATAATATATCATTATAAGTCAAGAAAATATATACGTATCTAAAGTTTATGGGCTCAATAGGTACACAGTGTATACAAATTAAAAATGTTTTAGTCTGGCGTCAGCGTTTTATCACGGCAAGTAAATTCGGACGAAATATTATTAGTAATAAATATTTGTTCAATGGCGGCGGCATTGTTGTTGTTGTTGTTTCTGTTATACAGTCGACATATCTTGCTTATGAATCAAACACATAAAAAAAAAGGGAACGTAGATAGGTAAATATACCAAGTAAACAGGGAAGCATCTTATCTATCGGCACATGTGAAAAGTAAATACGAAAACGTGAATTGAGAATGAAGAGTTTTAACGGTTATTGTTGAATGTCGCAAAAGCTGGACTTGAATAGAACTTGGCTGCGGCTCTTTGTTTTGTTCGGCGTTTCGAGTCGCATGCAATCGCGGCTATTTTTATAACGAATCAAAATGCACTTTTCAAACACACACACACCAACGCATTTACACACACATGCACACATGTACACACACATACACATACATATATATATATATATTTATATATATGTGTATATATAGTTATGGCCCGACACGGGTAGACAACAAACAAAAGAGAAACTGCACATCCGCTGCTTGACTTAAAATTACATACTTTGTACACATGCAGCGCGTATCCGTTTAGAAATTGTAGTTCAAAGCTCACTTTTGTTTTACATGTTCAATTTATTGCGAGTGCACACAGAGAAGAATACATTGCTTTGTGGAGACAGCGACAAACAACACACACATCAACGACAGTGTGACCGAGCGCGACTAAAAGAAAACACCCAAAGTGCATCGCTTACAGGGTCAGTTATCGACCAGTATCGATTCCAGTTCAAAATACAGCTCTAAGCTATCGGTATAATCCGCGCAGTTAAATATTTGACATTGATTGTGATTGTTGTTTCACAATTAATTGACGACCGTTGGCTTAGCCTAACCTTCTATTAACAAAGCAAGTATTTGTAATAATTTTTTTGAAATGAAAATATGTTGATATGTTCATTATTCAAACTATTTTGTATTTTTGCGCTTTATTGAACAAGCAGTGCGTTCCACCTATCGATATCACAATTGTTATCTTTTGTTTTAATATCGTTTCGTCGGCGTTTCGTTTTCATCCCTAGCTTGATTGTTTATCTAATGGATCAAAATAATTTCGACATGCCGAACGTAGCTCACTTTTTTGAGGGCGTTGAAAAGCTATTGGAAATATGTTTCGACGAGAGCTCGAGTCCCAACGGCGACTTACGCAATATAACCAGAGGTGAATGGGAGAACCTGCTGTGCCACGTGAAATGCGAAATAATTAGCTATATTAAGAACGATTCAATAGATGCCTTCCTCTTAAGCGAGAGCAGCATGTTCGTCTCGAAGCGTAGATGGATACTGAAGACCTGTGGGACAACAACGCCGCTGAAGTGCCTGGAACAATTGCTCCAATTGGCCAAACTAGAGGGATATCATGTGATAAGCGATATATTCTACTCGAGAAAGAATTTTACAAGACCCGAAATCCAAATGTCCCCGCATGAGGGATTCTTTGAGGAGGTTACCTATTTAGATACAATATTTCCCGAAGGCAGATCATATTGCCTTGGCTCCATTAATCTAGAATGTTGGTATTTGTATACATTCAGTAAGCCCGAATTAAAAGCACTGCCACATCTAATTGTCGAGGAGAAGAGCACGGATGCCGATCCAGATCAAACAATCGAGATTCTTATGCAAGATCTCGATAAAGACATTATGTCTGCCTTTACCAAGAGCAAATTCACCACGGGCCGCGAGGTGACAGCGTACTCTGGCATTGACAAAATATTGCCCGAAATGCATATCGATGACTTTCTGTTCGATCCGTGTGGCTACTCGATGAACGGGATCCGTGAAAACGGTGAATACATGACCATTCACATCACACCCGAGGAGAAGTTCTCCTATGTGAGCTTCGAGAGCAATGTGGCGCTCAACAACTATACGAAATTGATATCTCAGGTGATCAAGACGTTCAAGCCGGGCAAATTTATTGTCACCATCTTTGCGAACAAGTCGTCGCTGGCGTACGAGACCATGAAGGAACTGGAGATCGAATACTCAACACTCTCGAACTGGAGGCGTACCGATATGCAGTGCTGCAATTTCCCATCCTACAATCTCTTATTTGCCCAATATTCACGCGCGTTGGAAAAAGTTTTATGATCTACTACTGGTCGTCTCTGCAATTCCAAAATGTATTGTGCAATAATATCAAAATTGATTGTTAATAAATCATCTGTTAAAACGTAATTTATTTATTTGTCTATCTTAATTCATCAAGAATATACATATAAGAGAGACGGAGATTCTCCTTTGTGAGATTCATTCTTAGCATGTAGCATCAGTTGAACTCCTTGCCTTAAAGAAGCGAGCGGTGCGCGCTTGAACCGCTCCAAATCCATCGCTGGCCACATGAATGTGCCGAGCTATCCAGGCGGGCAGCTTCTTTTGGATTCGCTCACTGGCATAGCGCTCGTCCAGCAGATAGACGCAGGCGTAGTCGCGAATGTGACGCACGGAGCGGCCAATGCACTGGTTGACCGCCTTCATGCAGAGATTCTCGTAATACTCATTGCCGGCAGCGTAGCCCAGCGTGTCGTCCAAATGACGCATGCGCTCCTTCAGTTCGGGTGCGGTGCGATTCGGATACGGTAAGCCCACAACGATGACGCCGCGCCCCAAGTCATCGGCAAAGTTGAGGCCTTCGGACAGCTTGCCTCCCACCACGCTGAGAAGCAATGCGCCGCCACCGGCAGGGCCAGCACTCTGACTGATGGCATCTGCATATTGCTGTAGCAGCTGCTCGACGCCGCCACCCCCAGCCTTTTCGCGAAAGATACGCTTGCGCTGGCCAATCCTTTGCAATGCGCCACTCTGCTCCAGATGCGCATACACTGTCTCCAAATAGTCGTACGAGGGCAAAAAGCAAACCACACCCGCCGGCAATACGCTGCATAGATTCTGCAGCACCATCCTCAGCTCATTCAGCTAGGCCCACCGAGAAACAGAGAAATTAACATTAGATCGAGTGTGTATAGCAACTTCTACATTGTATCTAAATTGATGACTAAGCAGCAAGAAGAACTCAGATAAGATATCTTTGTGGAACATGTCGAATCGATGTTGTAATAGACAAAAATTATTTTATGACTCCAACAGTCACACATAGTTATCCACAGAGTGAGAATATCTAGAGTCTGTATAACTGTATATACATATATGTAAGTATATATGTAAACCTTTTTGTTTGTTGAGGATCATGCACAAAATACAATGATTAATTATTAAAGTCAAAATTGAGGTGGACACTGAAATAGGAACACTTAAATTTCGCTATTGATTTTGTTTGCAAAAAATGTAAGATTGGAATATATTCCTGAGAATAAAGGTTTAACTAAGCTATCGAAAGTCAAGGAAGACATTAAGAAGTGCATAGCTGCACTAATTGGAAAGTCTTTACGAATGCTCCGAGTCAGAAAAAAATGAAAACATTCAGAGACGCGTATGATTCAAGAAAAGTTAAACCTTCGGCAACTGATAATCTTAGCGTGTTTTTGACTAAAGTTGATCATCTTAAGTCATCAAGATCAATTCATTGCAAGCGATTGATTGTTAGCTAGTAGAATTCCCAGTAAAATTCCATTGCTTAAAACGGGAAATTGTAAAATGATAAGAGGTTCATAGAGGTTACTTAGGACTGGCACGGATCAGAGGGTGTCAGAGAATGGCATAACATTTGCTGGAATGATGAAAACCAGATGAATTTGTTTGGCAACGATGCCAAAGGAAATGTAAAGAATTCCATATTAAATGAGCTAAAAGAACTTCACACCTATTTTGCTGTTCCGGTGTGAAGATGCATATCCAAGCAGCTGGGAGCCCTCAGATAAGAGGGAGAGAGAGATTATCAGTATAAATAAAAGTTCTCACCATGGCGAAGCTTGTGCGTTGGGTATAGCTGAAGCAGAGCTTGGTGCCCGTTGGTCCAGCGGGCAGGACAAATGGCAGCACCGCATCCGGCGGCACCACATGACTGTAGAAACGTTCCACGACGCGTTCCGGGCAGTGAGCGAAGAGCTGGGCTGTCAGCTCATGCGTGGGCTGCATTGTGCCTCCAGCAATGATGAGCTGCAGCAGAGAGAGAGAGAGAGAGAGAGAGATAGAGAGATAAAATAGTTAGATAATAATTTAGAGTCACTTACAGCGCGTGCCTCGCTGATAATGTCGGCGAAATGTTCGGCGGGATTGAGCAGCAGATATTTCAGAGTGCCGGCCTTGGGATTGAGGAGAACACGTCCATCGGCGGCATTGCTGGTGAGCGTCTCCAGAAACGCGAGCAGTGGACGTATGGGCGAGGCTACAGCCAGAGGCTTCTCCTCCAGTTTCACATCCTTTTGATTCGCCTCATCCGTTTCTGGTAAATGCATTTGCTGTTTGCGTTTGCCACCCAACTGAGTCTGGCTGAGCTGCTGCTGATGCTGTGTGGCCAGGCGCTGGAGCAACTGCTGTGTGGGCGGCGGTCGATTCTCGTTGGGATGCGGCTCGCGCTCCTGCTGCTGGCCAATGCCCTGCAGTTTCTGAGCGAACCGTGTGCGCGCACAGAATTGCAGCACGGCATGCAGATCGATGTTGAAGAATTCGCCCTCGGCGCACAGCTGATAGGTGTGCAGCAGGCGCGGTTCATCGAGAGGCGGCGCCAGCGCCAGCAGCAAGCGACGGACCACGAAGATCAGCTGATTGATTCGCAACAAATTGGCGCTGCTCAGGCGACGCGCATAGCGCTCCTTGTAGGCGGCCAATTGTTGACGCGCCAGCTGAAGCTGGTCGCGGCTGAGTTCGCTGCTGTGCAACTGGGCGATGGTGTCCAGCAAATTGTGCGCCTCGTCCACAATAATGACGGCGCCGCGCAGATCAATGCCCAGCTGCTGGCGTGTGCTGCGCTGCAGCAGCAGCGGATATGGCAGCAGCACCAGCTGCGCTTGCGCCAGCGCTGAGCGTGTTGCGTAGTAGGGACAGCCGCCACAGGCGGCTCCTTGAGTCGCCAGCTCCTCAATGTCCATCAGCTCGGAGAGCGACGCATCTCTCATACGCTGCACCTGGTTGGGGGCCTTGTGGGGGCAGCTGGGCTTGAGACGTGCCATGTCAAGGCAGCGTTCGTTGATGAGTGCCACGTTGGAAATGCGGCGCACCTGGGCATGGATGCACAGCTGGTGGCGCGAGCCGAGCGAGATGCAGCGCACACTCTTCCCATGCGGCGTCTTGCGCAGCTCGGCCACAATCTGCGCCAGCTGTGCGTGCGTCCGGCTGCAGTAGAATATCTGCACATCACGAAAACGCTCCTGCTGCTCCTGCACCTGCTCCTCCAACACATCTGTTGTGTGCTCATCCGAGTTCAGCTCCGGCTCAGCCTGGAGCAATTGTTCGCCTGCGTGCCGTGCTGCTCGTGGCTGGTGCCTCTGGCTACTTCGCTGCTTGATGGCCAGCAGCTCCTGCTCCTTCGCCTGCCAGAGATCACGCAAACGTTGCAGCTGCTGCAGCTCTTCGCGGTGCTTTCGCGTTTTGCTCTGGGCTGTTATCCAATCGCTTGCCTGCTCACCGGCGTCTTGCAGCTGGCGCAGCTGCGCCTCCACTTGGCCGATGCGCTGCACCAGTTCGCTGCGTACCAGCTGCTCGTGCTGGCGCAGCCAGGTGAGTGCGCCGCAGGTAAGCGTCAGCGACTTGCCCGTTCCCGTCGGACTCTCGAAGATGCCAATTTGCTTGGATTCCAGCACTAAAAAGAGCTGCTGCATCAGCTGCTCCTGTATGGTGTATGGTGTGTACGGGAAGCCGAAGTCCTCTGCTGCTGGGACTGGCAGCGCCTTCCTCGGCGAATACATATCCACGGCGCACACAGCTCCAATTAGATGTAGACTAAATTGACTAAATCTAAAAAGACGCGCCAAGCCACATCTAATTTTGCTTCGTTGTGCTCCGTTTTGCGCCCGGCTTAAGTTGGTTGCGAGCAATTTTGCGTTTGTACTTGAAGTTGGCTGCGGGGACTGCGTCTGCTTTTGGCGGTCTGGCAGCACCATCATTTCGCGGTGTTATTTGAATTTGTAAATTGCACTGAATTACGTGAAATACGAAAATAGCTTGTGCATAAATCGAAAAATAGACATCAATCATCAGACGAAGACAAACATCAACTGTACAATGTATGAGTAATCAAAACGATTCTCCGTTATGTATATATTTGATTTTTATCATTTTGTATTGTTTTCGTGAATTTAATTTCGTTTAGTGCACTACGCAGCAACAGCAAAAAAACTTGATTGATAGCCAATTAGTCATGTAAGATATTAATTCGCGTCTTGATACTTAATCTTTTTCAAGCTGAGCGTATTGAATGCGTCAGCACAGACTCCCCCCCGCCGAGCGGCGAATAAAATTCAATTTCAATTTGAATTTGAATTTGAATTTGAATTCGAATTTGAGTTGTGTTGTATTGCTTAGCTTCAGCTAAGTGGCTGCAATGAACTTTAATGTTGCAACTATGCAAACATTTACATCTGTATATTGTGGCTGTGCTGTAGGCGTGGCAAGATCCGAGATTTGCCGCCATTTTCCAGTCGGCATTACTCATACGCAACGCTGGCCAATGCTGTCCTGACCTTAGCCAACACAACAAATGCGCTACGGCTGCACCTCGATTGACTGACTGACTGACTGACTGACTGACTGATTATAATTATGCAATAATAATAATAATAATAATGCCAATGATTGACGGTCACCGTGCAGTTTACGTTTTTGATACATGCAACATGCACTCCCCAATCCTACGCCTCCCTGCCACACATTTGTAATCATCTTCGCTGTTGGCCGTCATATGCCATTTGTTGCGCCAAATGTTGCAATGCTTCAATTCATGCGACGTCATGCACCTGAACTAGTCGCTCTATATCAGTGTGTGTGTGTGTGTGTATTTGTATAATATATATTCCAAATATAACTAAATGCTTAAGCATTTAAGGAAACCAAATCATAACAACTAACTTTAAGTTCTTTGACAGACCCCGAACTTTGATAAGGCTGAGCAGGTTCTTGTGCTGAATATCAGACTCATTGCTTTCATAATAAATCATTTTCTTTATTTATTTATGTATTTCGCTTTTTTATTTGTAATTTTCAAGTTCTCTCTGAAATTCTTTAAAAAAAATTGGGCTAAAAATTATCTGCTTTTTTTTTGTTTGTAGAAATAATTTATAAATATTTTGTAGAAAATACTTAAAATAATCAATCATTTTTTCTGCTTTTCAGAAATACATTTCTTAATAATACAAAATATTTCTAAAAATTGCAAATGCAAACCTTAATTTTAGGAAAAAATCCTCTTTTATAAATGTCGAAACTATTATTATCTGCTGCTAAGACAAAGGAATGGAAATTCGTTTTAAGTATTATATTATATGAATTAATATACTATCTACAAATGTTTGTTTGTGTGAAATTTTTAAATATAAAAAGAAAATAAATTAAATTAAAGAAAAACCTGGAAGACAATCCTAAAACGATCTAAATGTATTTTTGAGTCAAGTACAAAAAGTATTGAAAGTGAACAGATCATAACGAGCATTTGGCTCGCTTATTCAAGATTTAAAATCGCAGATCTTATTAAATATGTAAAATGTGAAAAAGATTCGAAATAGTAATTTTAGATTAAATGTTTTTCTCTGTGTACATACAGTGGTATGCCACGCCCACGCGACCAAGTCATGACCTTGAGCTGAGTCATAGATCGTGTGGCAGACAGTGGGTCGACAGTCGACAGTGGTTCAATGGTTCAATGGTGGTTCTGCTGATACTGCTACTGCTACTGCTACTGCTACTGCTACTGCTACAACTACTGGTCCCTGGCCAATGCTAATCTCAAGCCTTTTGGCCGCAAGACAAGCCCATTTATCACTGTGGTGCACTTGTGTTGGTTGCCTTGCTGTTGCTGCTGTTGTTGTTGTGGTTGTTGTTGTTATTGTTGCTTAGGTGGCATAATTGTTCACTTAACGCACAGCTAAAAATACACCTCACAACAGGCACTGTGTGTGTGAGTCTGTTTGTATGTTTGGCTTGTCGCTGTGATTGCTAATAGTACGTTCAATGATAATGCGTTTCGTTATTTATGAGTGGCATTTTATATAAACAACAATAACAACAATTATTTATCACAGCGCCCGATTTTCTTTAGATTTGAATCGTTCTATTGGCCAGTGCAACCGTTCTTCAGGCCTGCCAAATAACGCTGATAAACATTTACGCACTGATCCAACCAAACTAGCTATCATAGAATAGACCCAGGTCCAGTTTCCCATAATTTCGCTCAAATTTTCCTTTTCTTTTTCTATTAAGCAAACACGTTGTTGGCAATTTAATCATTTTGTTGCAATCGAAACCCTCGAAAACCCTCAGAAGAAGAGAGCTGTCCAACACTTCTTCTGCCAATGCCCATCCCCCAGGAGGAGAAGACTACAATTTCTTGGTTCTCCCTTCCTCTTCGATATCCACGAATGTTCACGTTTCGCGCAGGATTAGGAAAATGAAGGCGATTAAGTCCATTGGGTCGACGGAGTTAATTTCTCCGGACAGCCACACTAACCTAACACAACCAAATCGAATAAATCGATTATTGGCCTGTGTTGATATTTGTCAGTGCCATATCTATGTCAAAACTTGTTCTTGATTTATCTTCTAGATGAATACTGCATGCACTTTCAGCAAACATAAAACACATTCAACACTTTTCGCAAAATGGGTGCCAATTATACAAACAAATGAAATTATATATAAGACATAATAATATTGTTTTTAACATAATGAGGTGGTTATGCAACTGGCTCTTCTTTTTGCTGGATGGCAGTAGTAACTATTCGAGTTTAACTTTTGAATTACGCTCTTTGCAGCGATCTGGATGTGTTATAATTTATAATTCAGATGATTTTCCTGTTCGGGCAGCGAAATTGGATGTCCCGATCTAAGCCACGTTTCATGCATTGGAATAAAGTAAATAAAAAAGATTCCTAAGCATTTGGAAAACTCTGAAATCTGAAGTTAAGTTTAATTTTTAGTTTAGATGTAGGCCGTCTCCTTCTGCTGTGTCAAGTTTGAATAGATTGTGGTCAATACAATCGATGAGTTGGACAATGAGCAACTCAGTCGAGCGATGACTGAACGAAGTGAATGAATGACACATTCGCAGCATCAGTCGCACAATTTGCATATAGAAGGATTTTACATGATTCTATAACTTGTATGACATTCAAAAAGCAATTAGACATTAATCACGGCCAGAGCCAAAGGGTGAGGAATGGGAGTCATCATCGTATTAATCACCCAAGCGCCGAAAGCACTATCCAAGCCTTCAAGTTATGCATATTAGAAATACAGAGAGGAACAGAGGGACTGAAATACAGAGGGAGACAGAGAGAGAGAGATAGAGAGAGGGAGCTTAAAAGCTGAGACACACACACACACAAGAGCTGCCGCTGCACAGTGGTGCGCGACTTGTACAATCTAAGTGAAGCCGTCGTTTTTTTTGCATAATAACATGATGTCATGACACCGCCCACTCTTAGCCGACCCCTTCCAGCAGCTACCGCCACGCCACTTGAGCTGCCAGATGTCGTCGTCGTTGAGTTTGCAGGAGCGAGGCAGTCGCCGCTAGCGCAGAGGGAAGTGCACGCTCCAAAAAACGCCGGCGGGGCAGCGGTGATCGGTGATCAACGGTTAGCGGTTGATAGTCAGTGTGTCCCACGCCCACGCCAAGACACGCGCCAAGAACAAAAAAAAAAAAGAAATAAATAAAAAAAATAATAGAAATAAATAATTGAGTCGAGTCTCAGCAATTGAGGCAGTTCACTTGTTGCTGACGCCGCCGCGCTATGCATGAGTAAGCCATGGGCAGTAGGCAGTGTTGGACAGCGGCGATAGTCGTGAGTCTTCAGTCCTCAACTTGACTGAAGCTGAGTGGGTGACACACATTCTTGTGCACTGAACCCATTACAAATGGCTAAATATAGCTATAATGGTAATGTAGCATGTGACAGACAGGATAAAAGGACGCATCTCCGACCCCATAAAATGAAAGTATATGAAATTATATATTTAGGAACTCTAACAGTATAAGTTCTGGGAGTTCCTGCTTCTTGTTACAGTTGAGTATGCAAAGCTTTATAGAGGGACATAAGATGACAATAAAACTAGAATGTATTCAATAGTTGGGTTCAGGGTACATCGTAGTCGAGCTCACCCTTCTAAGGCATTCTTACTTGTAAGATCTGCAAATCAGATTGCCTCAGCCTTGCCGCTCTTAAATTGTGTTTAATCCATTTCCCATTTCCCACTGGAATCCAATATTTAAATGCACATTTTTTTACGGTTTTGATTTTGAAGCAGAACATTTATTTTTACATTTTCGCTTTTGTTTTTTTGTTTTTTTTTGTTTTTTTTTAGATTTTTTTGTGATTTTTGAATTATTTTTAAAGAATTTTGCCATTTGTTGACTTTTTAAATATATAATAATAAAAAAAACAAATATTATTATTAGTTAGTTTTTAATTTTATATTTAGTATTAGCTGCTTAAAGTTATCTAAAAAAATGTTTTGAATTAATTGTATGCTTTTTACGTTCGTTTTTCGACATTTTTGTTAAGGGGGTTTAAAGTGTATTTGGGTTTCCTGGCATTTTTCGACTTTTTTAAGTAGCATAATAAATTACATTTGACAAATATTAAGAACGTGTTTTTTTTTTTAATTTCGCCTTAAAAATCATTAAAACAGTTAGCTGTGTAAATGTGGTTGTATGTGTGTGTGTCTGTGTGTGTGTCTGTGTGTGTGTGTATGTGTGTGTCAGTGTGTGTGTATGTGCATGTGTGTGTATGTGTGAGTGTTGCTGTCGTTGTTTGGCTTTGAGTTGATTTATCATGTGCCTCTCTTTTCTGCTTTAAATACAAATACAAAAATAATAATAAAACAAAAATATACAAAATAATATTTTTTTTTTCTTAACAATTGCAATTCTATATAACAAAGTAAAAACAAAAACAAATATGGGGAAATATATAAAAAAAAATATATTAAAAAATGTTAAATTACAGATTGCTGGTTATCAACTTAATTATGAATTAAAAATTTAATTAATGCGTGCACACTTTTTGTATACATATGTATGTGGTATATATATATACAGACATATATATATTTTTGTCATATTGTTTTAAGACGCAAAACTGAAAACGCATATATTAATTTGCATATATTTTTGCACTTGTCAAAAATATATAAATAATACTTTTTTTTTCTCTTATTTCTTTTTCTGTTTGATTTTCTTTTCTTTTAGCACAGTTTATGGGAGTTATTTATACCTATTTTTGATTTTGTTTTATAGTTTTTGGACACTTTTTATATCGTTATTCGCAGCTATCTTAGGACAGTGTTGAACATATAAAAAACAATTTATGCACATACAATATATCTGTGTACAGGTTTTTAGGTTTTTTTTTTTGAATTTTATTATTTTTATTTTAGATAGCTTTAAATTTAATGGGTTTTAAGTGCCTACAGCTGAAATCTTGTGCCCGAGTTCCAAGTGTGCTTTCATTATTTAACATTTAACAACATTTATGCATATATATATATACACATATATTAGATATATATATATTATATATATGTATATATATATATATGTGTAAATGTTTATATATATATATATTTGTATGTATTATATAACATTTTACAGGTACTTCGTAGCGCATTTTGTTTGCTTTGCTTATCAACAATGTGTGGATTGCTGCTGTCAAAAATGTTAAACCTAAAATTATAAGCTAAATTAGGATGAGAGTCTATGACAAAGAAGAGATGAAAATATGCGCCACTACTAGCCAACAGAATGAGTTAGAAAAGGAAGAGGAAAAGGAGCGATAGAGACTGAATGTGAATTGTACAAACAAAAATATAATGGTTAAAAAGAGATAGTTAATTAGATACAGTTGTTGTTGCTGTCCTATTTTAGATGATCTTCTCAATGTATAATTTATGAACTATGCTTACGTAACTTTAGAATTAAACGCACACGCAGGAAGAAAATTGTTTCAGATTTTCGATTTCAGATTTTCGGCTACAAAAACTTCAACCGTAGGCACACTAATTCCAATATACTCATCATGTACATTAAGTATGTGAGAGTATTAATGTATGTATGTGTGTGAGAGGTATTTTCATTTTCTTTTTTGTTTTCTTCTTTTTTTTTTTTGCATAATAAATATGTATGGTATTGTAGCCAAATTGGGGTTTGCCCTAGAACTCTTGGATTAACATTGATTGCATTCATACATTTAACATTTAATAGTACTTTAAGGACTGCATTTTCTTCTTCTTGAGAACCTCTTCAGTAAACTTCAACCGCCCCGGACTTCAATTCTAAACAAATACACACAAACTTGACCTGAGCTCAAAACTTGTTTTTTTCTTTTCTTTTGTTTTTTTTTTTGTCTATATTTTGTGCTTATATTTTGGAAGCTGAACGTATAATATCATATAGGTATGTATATATTCCAGGCCTAACTTGTTGCCTCTTTTATTTATTTTTTTCTTGACTCATGCAAAATGCACTTTAAGCAGAATTCTGACTTAATGCATTTCAATTCGTTTTCCTTATAAATAGGCAGGTATTTGTGTTTGCTAAGGGGTTGGGTTGGTTGGCTTTAATGCAAATTTCAGTTTCAGTGATTACCCATTCTTTACTTTAGTTTAACCAACAATTAACAATGTACACACATATTACTTTAGAGAGCCAATCAGAGTTAAAATTGCTGGGTATATTAAATGGTAAATGGTTCGCTATATTTAAGGCATGCTATATGGTATATGGTAGACATCGTACAACTACAAAAGCCGTGCTCACTAAATTCTATATTTTTTATATGCATATTAGTATTTATATTATACATAAATAGTTGTAAATATTAAATCTTTAGTACAAATCGAGGCAATTTTCTTCTTTTTTTTTTTTTAGTTTTTGTTTACAAGTAAAAAAAAATATATATATGATTAGAATTAAAACAATTAGAAAAGCACTTGATGATCTCTTTCGGTTTTCTTTAGGCCACTTTTTGGTGTTCACAGCTGTTTATACTTAGAATTCAGATGCATAAACGTTTTCTCTTCTTCTTCTTCTTCTTCTTGTATTTAGTTTTTACACACACATTAATAATAAATATATTCACATATATATACATATATATATATATATATATATATATGTATACACATGTATATGTATCTACGTTGTATATAGGTGTATAGATATACGAGTTCTGTTAAAATATTATCAAGCGGTAAACACACATACACAAATATTATGATTTTGAAATATTTTTTTGCTTTTCGTTATTCTCAAAATTTTTTACACAATTAATTGTTGTTTTTTTGTTGTTTTTCTTTTTCTTGTTTTCGGAACTTTTTGTAAATATTTTGCTTTTGCTTCTTTTTGTTTTTATATATCGTTTTCATTAAATTTAATAAGGCGCTAGTTTAAAAAAAATTGTTGCAGTTGTTTTTTTTTTTATTCAAAATTGTTGTTTTTTATGGTCGTTTTTTGTTTTGTTTAAGAGCACATTTTAGTTTCGCAAAAGATTAACAAACTTACAGCTATCCTTATCATTTAGTTGTCCAGCGAATTTTTTAAGGCAACAGCGTGCAAGCTTTCTTCTCCTTGTTACTTTTTCTTCTTCTTTTTCTTATACAACTCACATTCAAAAAGGAGAAAATTACACAAATAGGTTTATATATATATATATATATATATTTGTATGTTAAGTTGCTTTTGTTTATAATCGTTTTGTTTTTATATATCACTGACTAAACCTATATTTTGCAAAAAAAAAAAAAAATATCAAACGTCATTATATCGCATGGTTTTTAAATTTTACTTTTAGCCTAAGTTTTAATATTATTTTGCATTTGTTTCTTTTCTTTTTTCTTTTTTCATTTTCATTTTATTTTTCTTCTTTATTTTTCGCTGCATAATCTCGCACAGGGGAAGGTGGTTGGGGGAGGGGTGTTTAACGAAATTAAAATTAATAATTACTGATGCGGCTGTGACTGCCAACAAATTGCCTGTTGCTCGGAATGTTATCGATAACATAAAATTATTGATATACACATACATATACATTTATAGATATACAATGTTAGGTTATGTACAATGCTTTACAAACTACAATTTAGATCGAAAAAAAAAATAAAAAAAAATCAGAGTGCTTTAAATTGTAAGGTTTTATGAGGTAGTCAAGCCACGATTGGAGCGCCGCTCCAGCACACACACACACACACACACACGCACACACACACACACGCACACACACATGCACACACACACATACGCACAACCAGAGACTATCGCTGTGGAAAAAGGGTGGGGATTTATATGATAGTAAATATATTCGAGCGCAGGGTGTAAGGCTGAGTTGGTTTGGGACTATCGATTTGTTATTGTTGGAAGAACTTGGATATTTCTTTTTGCTTTTGCTTTTGCTTTGAGGTTGTGTGGGAAGCTGGGCGATAGCTGGACGTGGCATGTGCGTGCCTGCAACAAACCTTATGCACCACCCGAAACAGAAATAAACACACATACACACACATATGCCAGCTATGTGTGCTGCTTAGCACCAATAGTCGACATGTGTCCAAGCCTGATCCTGCTGCAATTCATTCTCCACCGCCTGCTGTTGCTGTTGTTGCTGCTGCTGCTGCTGCTGCTGCTGTTGTTCTTCTTGCTGCTGTTGCTGCTGCTGCTGCTGCTGCTGCTGCTGCTGTTCTTGCTGCTGTTGTGTTCTGCTCTGCTGCTGCTCCTGGTGCTGATCGAATGCCAGCAACAGTTCGTGATCGGCAGCGCGTTGGGCCCGATCTCACGCCAGGCAGCCGCCATTAGTCATAAAGGCTGCGGCACCCGTATCCAGATCCACGAAATCGGCATCATCGTCCGCCAGCTGCGACAGAAGATCGTTGGTATAGCAGCTGTTCTTCATCAGCAACAGTTGCTCGTCCTCGTAGCACGGTGTCATAATGCCAACGCCGACGCCGCCGCCATGATGCGGCAGCGTTGTGTGAAAGTCCACCAGATGATTGTTGTTGTTGTGCGCCGCAAGGCTGGCCACACTGGCCATATTATTAAGACTGCTCGGATGCACACTAACCGCATGTTTGATGTCCGGAAAGCCATCGAAGAGGAATCGCTCTGCACTCAGCTCTGTGGTATATGGACTCTGCGAGTCCACCAGCTCATTCTTCACAAACTCAATGGCGCTGGTGGGCGTGGTCGCGGGCGGCAGAGCTGTTACAACTGATGCTGCTGCTGATGTGATTGCAATTGCTGTTGTGTTGCTGTTGTTGTGATTGCTGCTGTTGTTGTTGTTGTTGTTATTATTGTTGTTGTTGTTGCTACTTAAGCTACTGCTTAAGCTGTTGCTGCTGAGGCTGTTGGTGCTATTGCTGCTGTTGCTGGTGGGCGTGGAGATGGCAACGGCAACCGCAGAAAGCCCAAGACCCAAACTAAGACCCTCACAATTGGGCACATAGTCCGAGACCTGTTGACTGAGCAGCAATGTGGCATTATTGCTGTCGGCTGCATTGCTGTTGCTGGCGGGATTCACAGACGACTGCTGCTGCTGCTGCTGCTGCTGCTGTTGTTGTTGCTGTTGCTGTTGTGGCAGACAGAGCGCCTCCTGTGTGGGCGAGCTTAAGTAGCCGGCATGCTCAAACTCTTGCGGTGAGGGCGATGGCTTGCAGTAGCCATTCGGCAACTGTTGCTGCTGCTGCTGCTGCTGCAACTGTAGCTGCTGTTGTGCCTGTGCAGCTGCAACGGCTGCTGCCATTACCGCCGGCGTTTTGCTGCCAAACTTGAACGTGGACATGGATGGTATGCTCTGCATGCGTTGCTGTTGCTGCTGTTGTTGCTGCTGCTGCTGTTGCTGCTGCTGCTGTTGCTGCTGCTGCTGCTGATGTTGTTGCTGCTGCTGCTGCTGCTGTTGTTGCTGCTGCTGTTGCTGCTGATGCTGTTGGTGTTGCTGTGTGGGCGTATTGGCCGCAGTGCTCGTGTCGCCATTAAGCAGGCCATCCAGCTCCAGTTCAGCAAAATACTTAAGCGCCGGCGATTGCAGCAGCTTCGATGGCAGCTGGCAGCCGCCGCGCTTGACGCAGCTGGGTGAATGCGCCTGCAGCATTTCGAGGAGCCGCCGACGTTCCGTTTCCAGGGAGCGCACCTGATTCTTTAGCTCGACGTTTTGAGTGTCGAGCACCTCGGACTCTTTGATGAGGTTCTGGGTGCGTTCGCGCTTCTTCATGCGGCATTTGGTGGCCGCAATTTTGTTGCGTTCACGACGTCGCCGCCGGCGATCCTCATCCTCGGGCGTCAGTCCCTTGGGCACCGATTTCGTTTCGCTATCCTCATCGCTAGACTCCTCGCAGTCCTCGTCACGGCGCGAACACTTCGAGTTGGGCTGCTCGGAGCCGGAGCTCGAGTCGCAGGTGGACAGCTTGCGTTTGCTTTGAATGGAGAGCTTGAGGCCCGCTTTGATCAGTTGCGAACAGGTCTGCAATTGCACAAACAAGAACAAGACGTGTTGTGTATAAGAAAATGAATGCAATCAAACAATTAGCTGTTCCCCGATTACAAGATACCCTATTGAAAGTGACTGACCATATCTGCAATTCTTCCTTGCCAACAATCTGCATATATCATTTGGTATTCCACAATTTAGTATCTCTAAAAAATGATATAAGAATCCAAGATGAATGCTTGCCAAGGCCAAGTGTACTAGTAATGTTTGCACAACGCCATATTCACTTTCTGTTAAAGCTTTTTCAATGGGTAGCTGAGTATATAGAAATAAATGCAATTGATTTGTCAAGGTCCTTCAACAAAAGTTGTTTGTCACCAATAGCCAAATTGGCGTTGTTCCATGCGGTGAGCTTGCCGCAGATGGCAGTCAAAATTACATAAGTCAAACCAGCCAGCATCGGTATCGGGCATTTTGTGGCATCGAGTATCAGTGAGTATCGAGTGCGTGGCAACAACGCAACAACTCCAATTCGGGAAGTGACGCGCCTGACATTTTAGCTGACCTATTTGGCCAGAGAACTAACCAAGATCAACCAGATCTCTCTTGTATGTCGAGACCCACTCTACTTTACCCTCCTTATGTAGACGACGGATGACGAATAAAAATAAAAAAAAAAGGTTTTCTTCAGTCTTCGGCATTCCTTAGCCACACTTCAGACTTGGGTCAACAACGGGGCTGGGCATCGGTTTTTTGTATTTTTGTATTTTTGGGTTTCGCATTTTGGGGTTTTTGGGCTCGAGATTATCTGTGATGTGCGGCATATTTGCTTTGCTCACTTTGTGATTAACTTGAGGCAGCTCTCGCATAAATTTTAAATATTAAAGTGAAAGATAGAAATCGGGCTTGTGGCCACGCCCAAAACTACAGTCACAACAGCAACAACAGCAACAACAACCACAACAACACCTGGGACAGGATAATGCAACAGTAGCAAGCAACAAAAAAAAAAAAAACAAAATCATTGACAATAACAAGGTCGCAACAGGTTGCTTAACGACGTAACCCCCAAGTGCAGTCGAGATCCTATCCCGAGTCTGTCGACTCGCAGAGGTGGGTGGGCAATCGCGCCTTTTATGGCGGAGACAACAAACAACAGCCAACAGGCAACAGGCAACAGACAACAGACAACAGACAACAGATGGTCATCACGTCGACACGTTGTCAACTTTCATTTAAAGGGCTAAACAGACAGACGCTCGCAAATGTGTGCAGCAATTCCAACTGGTTGAATGCGCTGCGTTCAATTAAGGTTGACGAGCTGGATTCAAATGAAATGTTTAAGAAATTTTCAAAAAGCAAGGCGTTCTCAAGTGGCTTAAGGGCCAGAAATGTGTAGAATTGAAATTGATTTAGCCAAATGGAATAGCAACTTGATTTGCGTGGATGTATTGAAAAAGACATACAAAAATACATACATGTTAAGCAATTCAGCTTGTTAAATGCCCTACATTAAACACAAGTTGATAGAGCTGCAAGGAAATGTACTAATTTGAAGTTGTAGTGGCCTGCATTCGCCACAATTGAGTTGCAGTTGAGCGTAATATTCGTTGAAGTTCAAAGCAAATACACACAAAAAAAAAAAGTGGAAATGCTTAAGTTGAAATTGAAAAAGTAGCAAGTAGCAAGTAGCAAGTAGCAAGTAGCAAGTAGCAAGTAGCAAGTAGCAAGTAGCTTTCCCCTGATGCTTGTACACATTGCCTTGAAGTGCAAGCAGAATCTGTGTGCAAGAGTTAAGAATGCAAATAACTACAAGCTCAATGTAAACATGTTGTGAGCCAATGATTTTCACATTGAGCTTGTATCTGTGGCAAGTGGAAGGGTTATTGACATAGATTAAGAGCGAGTGCTCAAATCTATATGCAATTTGAGAAGGTCGCACTTCTGTGGAGCCGATTCAAATAGACCGAATTGAAGTATAGCCAATCAATTTGAATAACCCAGCTATAACATACTTTTCTCGCTCTCTCTCTCTCTCTCTCTCTCTGAATCTTTCACTCGCTTTTAGGCAGCCCTCTTCAATCTTCAGCTTCAATGACAGCTCATTCAAGTGTCAGGCAAGCCAGACTCTCTTAGCCTGCCCATCATCATCATCATCATCATCATTATCATCATCACCATCATAATGATGAGCGTCATCTTGATTATCTTCAGTTTTGCACATATTATTTGTTGTCTGCTTGAGAAATTGTTCAGATGCCACTGATGAACGCCCCCATCTCCAAGCCCCCACCACTACAACTACTACTCCTCTCTATCCATTACCCAGTCTGTCTGTCTGTCAGTCTGTCTGTCAGTCTGTCTGTCTGTCTGTCTGTCTGTCTGCCCTGTGCACAGCCCAGCCTTTGAACGCGCCCTACTATCTGTTGACTTTTGAATTGCTGCTGCTGCTGCTGCTGCTGCTGCTGCTGCTGCTGTTATTTTCGCCAGCGCATTGTTTCATTTAAATTTTAGGCACGCTGCCTTTTTATTTATTGACCCAAAAAGCAGATAAATAAATTTTGTTTCAGCCAAAAAAATACAGAAAAATTGAGAAATGTGAAGAAAAAAAAACAACACAACGCATTATCATAATAATCGCATGCGCCAACGATTGCAATAGCGATGCCGACTTCGACTGCGACTTCGACTTCGATCGCCCGGCGACCGACCGACCGACCGACCATATGGTCAAAAAATATTTTGTTGCCTTCAGACTTCTCGAAAATTGGTGCGTTTTCTACTTGGCTCCAGTTGCTGTTATTGTGCAACTCTTTGTGTGCTAGTTGTCAGGGCATCCAAATGGTATGGCCTGTGTGCGAGAGAGGTCAGTCTGTGCAATTGGAGCAAGCAGCAGACAGAGTTCAATGGGACTGGCGTAAGGATGTGCATCAGCTTGTCTGGCTTCGCGGATTCAGTCTGCTTATGCTGTCATGCAATTAGTTTAGATTGCAACTGACAAATAGAAATCGTAAATGACCAAAAACAGATCCTGAATTGATTTTAGAACAAGCCAAAAAAAAAAAACAGAATAGGTAGATAAGGATAGTTTCAAGAATAAACTATTCTTAAGTTGATAAAACAGATAAGGAATATGTAAATCTAAAGAATGTGGTCCGAGGAGAGCAGAAAAGCGACAAAGAAAAATGGATTGATCTAAAATCAAAAAAAAAGAAGTAAACTTGAGACTTTCACAACTAGTTGATTGATCATTAAAATCAAAATATGCTTAATGTTTTCTATGAAAAGATGTCACAATTTCAACAGGAAATCAAAGCTGGGTGTGTTTGTTAATAATAAAAATAAACCCCATTTTTGAGACCTTTAATTGAAAGATAAAAGATACAGCTGTAAATGTAAATCGTGTGACAGCTCAACTGTCTCCTTAAGTACTTTATGAACATCTGCGAGAGTAACAGCAAAAGTGTGCAAATAATGAGCAACCAACGACAAATCGGGCCAAACAATATCCGAGAGATATATATATATATATATCTATATACACATTTGTACTCATGTACATTTCCAGCCTTTCTTTGCACTTTACTTTGTTGCATTTCGCGTTTCGCTGACAACGTGTCTGTGTCTGCGTCTGTGTCTGTGTCTGTAACTGTATCTAAAGATATAGCTAAAGCTGGTAGATATGTATCTGTATCTGTGCGTGATGTTTGCTGAGCAGCGCCCAAAAAAAAAGCTGAAATTTCGCACGAATCGTCTCGCAAATTTGCATCTTTTATTTGGCCCCGCATTTTGTTTGTTCGCCTGTTTGCCATATTTTATTTTTTTCTTTCGTTTTTTTTTTTTCGTTATTATTCTCTTTTCGCATTTGAGTACCCTTTTGGAGGGCACTTTAATTTTTTAATTAATTTTGTAACATTGTTGGATAAATTACAGAGAGATCAAAATATTTGGAATTAATTAATTTAATCATCATCGGCTTCAATAATATGATAAGATCAGATTACTTTCTACACATGATTTTCAATATTACTTTTATTGATTTTCTGAAAGAGTTTATAAATTTCGGCAATCCAATAAATTTATGATTTCTTAAGTATTTTTTATACGAATTTTTTGACATTCAATATTTGCAATTTTTGTTATTTTGCCTCACCCCTTTTTTCTTGATTTTTTATTTTTATTTTTATTTTTGCTCTCTGCATTTTGCGCTTATGAGAAATGTGCAAAATAAAATTTAAGCATTTGCGCAAATATTTGTGCAAGCTAAGAAGCTGAAAGGGTCGGTGGTGGGGGCTGGGGGATGGGGGCTGGGCTGGGTGGTGTGGGGTGGGGTGGTTGTAGTGCAATAAAAATGTGTTTTGAGTAGAAACAGCAATGTTGTGCACAGTTTGCGACTGTGTGTGTGTGTGTGTGTTCGACATTTGTAATTTATGTGAAATTTGCTAGAAAACAAATTGAAAAGTGTTTAATTTTTTTATTTGCAATATTTTGCACTTGGGACGCCGTCGACTGGCAGCGGCAATTAAAATTTTCGACGGTTCAATGCCTATAAATTCGTTTAAAGTAATAACCATAAATCATACTCAGATACACACACACGCACACACCTAACAATTAGTGCAGCACACACACACACACACACACACACACACACAGAGAGAGACACCATAAGGTGTGCAAATATCAGCTGGATGCGCCCGGGAGCTGTTTGCTGTGAGCTGTGCTCGAATAGCTTTTAATTGCCGCGTTGCAAATGCTATTCACATGCATTAATCGCACCCGCAAGCAGCTTTTCACTCCCCCTAATGCTCACACCCGCCCTCCTCTGCCCTCACACGTTCATAGCTGCGTCAGCTACGTGCCTCATTAAGGCCAATGTCAGTCAAGTGACTGATTCTCTGCAACCACACAGATGCAGCAGCTATATCTATATAGATATAGATATAGATATATAGATACAGCTACACAGATATCTTATGCAATTTCTGTTTGCATGAAAAAGTGAAATCAATTCTGGCTGCGTTTTGCAATTGAAGCGTCAACAGCGACGCCCACGAATTCAGCGCCAAAGTCAAAAACCTGACCCGAACGACAAATCGACCAAATGACTAACTGTCGCCGCTCCCGGGGCTACGGCACTGGCACTGGCGTTGGCGGATGCCGGCCAATGTCCGGAGCCAGTGCAGCAGCAGCAACATCAGCAGCAGCAGCAGCAGCAGCAGCAGCAGCAGCAGCAGCAGCAGCAGCGATGCGTGGGCATTTGGCACATTGTCGTGAGCTGCGTGGGTGCCGTATGCAATTCGGACGCTGGCTGCCAGCAGCTGACGCCGATGAATGTATGAATGAATGAATGAATGAATATATAGATGGATGGTTGGATGGTTGGATGGTTGGATGGATGGAAAACTCAAAAGTTGAACAATGTTGTCACGCTGAACGTTGAATGTTGACTGTTGACTGCTGACTGCTGACTGCTGGCTGATTTGCGATTGAAAGGGAAATTGAATTATATCGACGCGTGCAGCGAATACGATAATTCAATAGTGTCAAAGTGAAAATTCGAAAATTGCACAATTAAGCATTGAGTTTGCAGCTTAAACGAACAATTGTCAATCGAGTGCATTGAAATTAGTTGTAATGTGTAAAACGCTATCGATTAAATACGTACATTAACAATTGATTCTTCAATATCATCGACGCCTAATGCAATCAGGGTTAAATAACACTTATTTAAGTGCAAAGACATCTCTATAGCTCTCTTGGATAAATGGACATGTTGAGCATCTCAGTTTCTAGCTGTTTGGCAACTCCAAGCCCCATTTATTTAACGCCCACTCACCTGTTGCACGCTGGGCGTGGTTGCTGTGCCCGCAGGCGAATCGAGCGGCGATGCCGAGCAACTGGAATGACTGCTATCCTGCGAGTGTGACTGCAAAGTGAACAAAATATAGGAGTTGAGATTGGATTTGTTGTGGTATGGAATGTGTGTGTGGGGCAGGGGTATAGGCGACAACTCACCTGTCCGTTGGGATTGCCACAGAAATTGCGTATGGTGACCACCGGCGTTGATGCGGCGCTGCACGAGTTTAAGGCATTGAAATTGAAATTGTCCAAGGGATTTGACATGGCCATCAGCGAGTTCACAATCTCTGGAGTTTTGGGTGTATGCGCCCCAAGGCCACTGCCCTCAATGCTTAGGAGCGCCGTGGCCGGTACGTTGGGACTGAACATTGTGCGGCTGTTGCTGTTGCTGCTTCTTATTGGTGCGTTAATTCTAATTGGATTTGCTTTGACTTGCAACAAATCAAACAAACAGACTAATTATAAACTAGAACACACACAAAAACAAAAACAAAATCAACTCAAAATAACACTCGCAACTCGTTGTTTGAATTTAAATAATTATTATTTTCTTTCTTTCTTTTCGTTTTTTTTTTTTGTTGTATATTAGAACTTTATATATATATATAAATATATATATTTTGTAAGCTTTGTTTAACTTTTTAGCTTGTTGTTGGTTTTTTTGTTTTTTATTATTTGTAAATCACAGTTGAAGGCCTACGCGTTGCATTTGTTGGACTGCTTTTTTGTTGTTGTTGTTAATTAATTATATATTTTTTACTGTAGTATATGCGCTTGTATAATTTTAGATATATATATATATATATATATATATATATATATAAATATATATATGTATATATAAATGTTTTTATATTTTTGTTTTCAGACACTCGCGTCTTCTTCTAGTTGTTGTTTGTTGTCTCTCTCGGTTATCACAAATTGTTGTTAATAAAACTTTTTATTTACTTTTTAGCTGACTGTTGATTGTTGTTTTTGTGCAAATATTGTTGTTGCTGTTGGTTGTGTATCATTTATTGTTGTTGTTGCTGTTCTTGTTGTTGTTATTATTAATGTTTTTGCTATTGTTGCTTTTGTTGTTGTTGATTTTGTTGTCGCTGCCGCTGCTGCCGTTGCCGCTGCGTCGCGACGCGGTTCCATCGACGCTTCCAGCGTGTGTTGCTCACAGCGTTGAATTGAACTGAATGTTTTGACCACCGGCACCGGTCGACATCCACATCCACATCCGAGACATCAACCGACGACAACGACGACCAACACGAGTCGCACGCTCGCT